GGTTTTAGCAGTTAGTAGGTCGATAGTGAGTTTTAGTAGGGCAGTTTCAGTGGAATGTTGTGGGCGGAAGCCAGAGGATCAAGAAGGTTGTTGTCGATGAGGTAGCATTTCATACGGTTGTGAACAAGGTGCTCAAGAAGCTTGGAGGCAAACGGGAACAGGGAGATGGGTGTTAAGTTATTCAAACAGGTGGGGTCCAGCGAGGGTTTTTTGAGTATGGGGGTAACCAGTGCATGTTTGAGCGGGGAGGGAAAGGTGCCCATGGAGAGTGAGAGGTTGAAGATGTGGGTTAAAGAGTTTAGGATAGAGCAGGAAGGAGGCTGCAACAGTCGTAAGGGGACAGGATCCAGGGGAAAGGTGGTGAAGTGGGCCTTGGAAAGGAGTTCAGTAACTTCCTCGGTGGTAACATGGTCAAACGAGGAGAGTGTTGAGTGTGGTGTTGGGCCTGGTATGTTGGTTGGAAGAGGAAGCTTGACATTGGAGATCTCATCACGAACTGTAGATCTTCTTCTTGAAATGACTGGCAATCTCCTGTGCAGTAAGTAAGTTGGTGGGTGGAGGCAGTGGGGGGTGGAGTAAGGAATTAAGAGTAGAAAAGAGTTGACGAGGATTGGATGAGAGGGTCTTGATGAGAGTGTTGTAGTAGATTTTCTTTAGCGTGGAGGCTGGAGTTATATTTGAAAAGAGCAGATTTGTAGAGGGTAAAGTCTTTCAGGGATTTAGTTTTAAGCCATGCTCACTCAAGAGTGCAGCTGCGTCTCTTGAGACTTCTGGTGTCATCTGTTTGCCAGGATTGTGATAGGCGAGGCCTGGTTCTGCATGAGCAAGAGCGTCCAGGGAGGATGATAGATAGTTGTTGTAGGCAGATGTGGCCAGTTCTGTGCAGGACAGGGGTGACATTTTAGGGGCAACAGGAAGGCAGGAAGGCAGATGTCAGTTGCAGGCAGAGCAGGTAGTTTTAGAGAGCAATGGAATCAGTGGTTACCAAGGGCAACAGGAAGGCAGATGTCAGTTGAAGGCAGAGCAGGAAGTTTCAGAAAGCAATGGAATCAGTGGTTACCAAAGGCAACAGGAAGGCAGATGTCAGTTGCAGGCAGAGCAGGTAGTTTTAGAGAGCAAAAGAATCAGTGGTTACCAAGGGCAACAGGAAGGCAGATGTCAGTTGCAGACAGAGGAGGAAGTTTCAGAGAGCAATAGAATCAGTGGTTACTGAGGAGCAGAGGAGAAATGAAGAGAGGATGTTGAGATGTTCCCTTGTTGCCGTGTTTAAAGTACCATGCACTTAGCGCCATGATGACACTTTGCACAGAGATGCCAGCCTGTCCCCTCATCTCATGAATGAGTTAGCTTTTTGACAGCTCAAGATAGTGGTCTGTGATTGGCTAGAGCTAGTCACATGGTACAGGGTGCTGTGATTGGCCCATGTATCATGTTACAGCTGTGGGCCAATCACAGCTCACTAGGAAGAGAAGCATAGCTGTTATGAATCAGATTGATTCATAGCAGCTTTGCTAATATTGTGATCATGTGATTGCATAGCGATCGCATGATCAACAGGTCCCATTCACCGGGATCTTCATTCTGCTGTGTCCGCCGGACACAGCAGTTGTGGTTGGGGAGCGCTGCGCGCCCGCTCGGGTGCTCAGAGCCCCCCTGTGTTAGTACATTGCGGGCGGGAAGCAGTTAAAAAGTTTTGCAAGACAATATCATGAGAATAAATCCTTGTTTACCCTTACAATAACAATATATATGGCTTTCTAATCTTAACTAATGGCAAAATTATTGCCAAGTAAACCGATCCATGGCAGAATTGTAGAAAATGCACTGGTCCATAGGGAGTGTACTGACATGGGAGCTAAATTAGTTCATGAAAAATAAATGAATAAATAAAAATATAGTTATTTAACTATTAATTGGATAAAATGTTTTTTTAATAGATCCTTAAAATTGTGTGGTTGAGAAAATCCAATATGAATCTAGCTACACATATAAAACTAGCTACACACTGAAACTAGACCAATTGGTTTCTTGTACTTAATTAAAATCAGAAATTTCCATTTCTGTGTGGGGACCCCAAGGAATCAAAATGCTTACGAATCAATTTTATTTCAGTTCAAAACATAGCTATCCCAATAGTACATAATGGCTATGAATGAATGCCATTTATTAAATATAACAGTGATCATCACTGTTATAACCAATCATAATGTTAAAAAAAAATCCTGATCACCTCCCAAGAGTAGTACAGTGTCACTATGGTAACACTGCACTGCTCCGGTCACAGCATGTAACAACAAAATGATACAGTATATATATATATATATATATATATATATATATATATATATATATATAAATAGAATGTAAAAAAAAAAGTTTAAAAATGTACTAATTTTTTGACAAATTATTATAATTTTTTTTTTACATACTGTCACCAATAAGTATCCCTGATCACCACTACAACATTCATATGATGACACTGTACTGCTCTGGGGACAGTATGTTTAAAAGAAATTGTGGAAAAAATAAATTTGATCTATTTGCCTAATTTTCCAAAAAATTGTGACAAAATAATTACAACTTTGAAAAACTCAGCATGCTGCTTACTAAATACCTTGGAGTGTCTACTCTAAAAAAGTGGCCATTTGGGGGTATTTTTTTATTGTCTTGTCATTTTAGGGCCCCAAGAAATGAGTTAGGCTGTCAGTAAATCAGGATTGATTAATTTTCAGATACATATACCATAATTTATAGATGCTATGACTTTCAGACAGACTAAATAATATATACTTATTTGGTTATTTTTACCAAAAACTTTGCAAACATTTCAGTATTTTTTTGTTTATCTATAAATTGAAAAAAATGAACAAAAAAAAGTTTGCTTGGGTGGTGTTGCATGCCTGAGTAATTGGCACTCAGAGCGTGACAGCACTCAAAGCTGAAAATTCACCTGGGCAGGAAGGGTGGAAAGTGTCTGGCATTGAAGTAGCCAAAGATGTATGTGTGTATATATATATATATATATATATAAGACATTTGGTGATTAGTATTAGAATAGAATAGAGATCAATAGGGTATCTGGAGAAGTTGTAACCAATACTTCTTTACAGGCAGTTACAAACATCCAACTTACATACTTAAGAACAAAGGCAGGGTGATGTCACGCTGGTCCCAGAAACTGCTGGGCAGACATCTTGCTGCTCACCATATGCTGTAACCCACTGTCTGGCGGACCTCTCTGAAATCCCACATCACTGCATGCCCAGTTAACCCTTCCAATGCTATCCAAAACAAAAATATTTAGCTAAAAACATTAAAATAAACTCTTGCAATGGCAATAATCAAACCAAATTTAAAGTGTTACTAAGCCCACAACAGTAAAATTAGTCTGTGTATGCAGTAAAGCATGCTTGTTATACTCCCTGTGGAACCTAAGGGGTTAATCCTCTGTATTGTGTTAAAAGGCCATTTGATCCTGACTTCTCTGCCCCTCCTCTTGTTCAGATGTCCACCTGATAAGACAGACTGAACCCGTAGCTACATGCACATGCTCAGTTTGGTGTGTATTGTTAGAGAGGTTTGTTTTTTTCTTGGGAGAGTGCATGTGATCAGTACAGGGCCAATCAGCACTGTCCAGATAGGTCAGGGGTTCTGCATCCTCCTAGAGCAGAAAGAAAACTCCTCCTACAAGCTTTAACCAGTGCTCTGCTGAAGTCACAAGACTGCTTTAACTGCTGATGAGAAAATGTATTTAGCAGTTTATATTTACTAAAATAATTGCATTTCCATGTTTTGTGTACTGTGGGGGACCAGATAGAGTGAATGCAGGGTCCAGGGTTTAGTAACACTTTAACAATTTCAGAACTTTATTTGCATGGTAACATTCCCAAATGTTTTAGAAGTATATCTCCACATTCATTAAGGAATACATATTAGTAATATGGTTGATGTACAGGTGCAATTCGAAAAATTAGAATATCGTGCAAAAGTTCATTTATTTCAGTAATGCAACTTAAAAAGTGAAACTAATATATGAGATAGACTCATTACATGCAAAGCAAGATAGTTCAAGCCGTGATTTGTCATAACTGTGATGATTATGGCTTACAGCTCATGAAAACCCCAAATCCACAATCTCAGAAAATTAGAATATTGTGAAAAGGTGCAATATTCTCTGCTCAAAGTGTCCCACTCTAATCAGCTAATTAAGCCATAACACCTGCAAAGGGTTCCTGAGCCTTTAAATGGTCTCTGTCAGGGTTCCGGGAATGACCAGAGGTGTGTGGACCGACACAGGGAAACACAGACTTCAGGTATAGCGTGTAAACAAGATCATTTATTAAGGACAACACAAACATAAACGCAGTGCAACAAACCAAACCCAAAACTAACACAAATACATACAACAAGGTGAAACAAACCCAAACCTAAACTGATATATATATATATATATATATATATATAGAGAGAGAGCACAACGTAGTCAGGCGGGCTGGGTCAGTAGCTAACTGGCAAACAGGGTGCCAGGAGCGAGCGGAAGAGTGGTCAGGAATAGCCGAGGTCAGGACAGGCAGAGTTCATTCACAGTCAGGTTCAGAGTCAGGATCAGGCAGGAAGCAGACAGAATGCAGGTACAGGGGCTCATGGGAAACACACCAAGGCACTGATCACAGGCCAGGTCCTGCTTAAATACACCTCCTGCAGTCAGCCTCAGGTGATGGCCTGATTGCAGGAGTGAGATTCTGGCTGCTGAGAGCACCCGCTGGCCAGCCTTGGTGCTGCAGCCCACAAGGCAGGTGAGTCCCACCACCATTGGCGAGTCCATTCCTGACAGTACCCCCCCACCTCAAGGAGCGGCCTCAGGACGCTCCAAACAGTCCTTAGTGGGCAAAATGTTCCACTGCCTGGGTCAGGTAACTGGCTGGATATCAGGGGCTGGCACATCAGGCTGGGCAGCGGGCGGAGGCACATCAAGCTGGGCAGCGGACGGGGGCACATCAGGCTGGGCAGCGGATGGAGGCACATCAGGCTGGGCAGCGGACGGAGGCACATCAGGCTGGGCAGCGGACGGAGGCACATCAGGCTGGGCAGCGGACAGAGGCACATCAGGCGGAGCAGCGGGCACCGGCCATCAGGTGGAGCAGCGGGCACCGGGCCATCTGGCGGAGCAGTGGTCACCGAGTCATTGGGCAGAACAGCGGGCACCGGGTCACCAAGCTCGACAGCGGGCACCGAGTCACCTGGCACGACAGCGGGCACCGAGTCATCAAGCTCGACAGCGGGCACCGAGTCACCAGGCACGACAGCAGGCACCGAGTCACCTGGCACGACAGCGGGCACCGAGTCACCTGGCATGACAACGGGCACCGAGTCATCTGGCTCGACAGCGGGCACCGAGTCATCTGGCTCGACAGCGGGCACCGAGTCACCAAGCTCGACAGCGGGCACCGAGTCACCAAGCTCGACAGCAGGCACCGAGTCATCTGGCACGACAGCGGGCACCGGGTCATCTGGCACGACAGCGGGCACCGAGTCATCTGGCTCGACAGCGGGCGCCGAGTCACCAAGCTCGACAGCGGGCACTGGGTCACCAAGCTCGACAGCGGGCACCGAGTCATCTGGCACGACGGCAGGCACCGAATCATCTGGCACAACAGCGGGCACCGAGTCACCAAGCTCGACAGCGGGCACCGAGTCATCTGGCACGACAGCGGGCACCGAGTCACCAGGCACGACAGCGGGCACCGAGTCATCTGGCACGACAGCGGGCACCGAGTCATCACGCTGGATAGGATCATCAGGCTGGGTAGGATCATCAGGCTGGATCGGGTTATCAGGCTGGATCACGCTGGATCGGGTCATCAGGCCGGATCGGGTCATCAGGCCAGATCGGGTCATCAGGCTGGGTAGCGTACACTGGGGCATCAGGCTGAACAACGGAAGGCGGGTTCTCAGACAGCAGGCTGACCGGTTTGGATACTGGTAGGATGGTACTGGTTGGAAAGAATTTTCGCTTCTTCTTGGGTTTAGTTACTGGGGCACTGCAAGTAAATGCAGGTCTGTAAATGGATGGAGTAGCTGGGGACAGAGAAGAGCTGGAGGATAGAACAGAGGAGGGAATAGTTGTTACAGCAGCCTTTTTTACAGGGTTAAAGGCAGGATAGGTGCAGCGAGTGGGAACAGGGTACTGACGTGGTAGATAGCAGGGTATATTGGGCTGTCACTGGGGGTGCTGTCGGGAATGCAGGAATAGAGCTTTGAGCAGAGGAATGATTAGAAGCAGGACGGGTTTGTTGCAAGCTGACTGAGGCTGGGTGTAACAAGTCTGACCAGGACTGTAGTATTGGTTGAACAAAACTCAGCTTACACAAAGCCTGTCTGACCAAAGACTGCACTGCGTTTATACACTCCACTAGCACATGTGGTGAACATGCTGAATAATGTTCCCAGAAGCAATCCGGATCATCCTCCAACAACCATACCAGTGATTCTATTTGATCCACACTGAATGGTGGAAGAAAGTCATCACTGCTTTCAGGGGTACTAGATGAAGCCAACTCAACACAAGCCTGAATCAATGGTCCTCAGAGAACTCCGTGCCCTGATCTACTAGGGAATGAGTAACCCATATGCACTCTAGCAGCTGATCCCTGGTATACTTCTGCAGAGTCTGATAGGCATATTCTCTGTCATCTAAGACTAGCAAATACAAGTATATAACCTCCTCAGGATGCATCCTTCCCAACAACAAGCCAAGATGGCTTCCCTGTGCAGCAGCCATTTCTGGTCAGGAATGGCCTTGGTGTAATGTCAGGGCTCCAGGAATGACCAGAGGTGTGTGGACCGACACAGGGAAACACAGACTTCAGGTATAGCGTGTAAACAAGATAATTTATTAAGGACAACACAAACATAAACGCAGTGCAACAAACCAAACCCAAAACTAACACAAATACATACAACAAGGTGAAACAAACCCAAACCTAAACTGATATATATATATATATATATATATATATATAGAGCACAACGTAGTCAGGCGGGCCAGGTCAGTAGCTAACGGGCAAACAGGGTACCAGGAGAGAGCGGAAGACTGGTCAGGAATAGCCGAGGTCAGGACAGGCAGAGTTCATTCAGAGTCAGGTTCAGAGTCAGGATCAGGCAGGAAGCAGACAGGATGCAGGTACAGGGGCTCATGGGAAACATACACCAAGGCACTGATCACAGGCCAGGTCTTGCTTAAATACACCTCCTGCAATCAGCCTTAGGTGATGGCCTGATTGCAGGAGTGAGATTCTGGCTGCTGAGAGCACCCTCTGGCCAGCCTTGGTACTGCAGCCCACAAGGCAGGTGAGTCCCACCACCATTGGCGAGCCCATTCCTGACAGTCTCTCAGTCTGGTTCAGTAGGAATCACAATCATGGGAAAGACTGCTGACCTGACAGTTGTGCAGAAAAACCATCATTGACACCCTCCATAAGGAGGGAAAGCCTCAATAGGTAATTGCAAAAGAAGTTGGATGTTCCCAAAGTGCTGTATCAAAGCACATTAATAGAAAGTTATGTGGAAGGGAAAAGTGTGGAAGAAAAAGGTGCACAAGCAGCAGGGATATGACCACAGCCTGGAGAGGATTGTCAGGAAAAGGCCATTCAAAAGTGTTGGGGACTTTCACAAGGAGTGGGCTGAGGTTGGAGTCAGTGCACCAAGAGCCACCACACACAGACGGATCCTGGGCTTCAAATGTCGTATTCCTCTTGTCAAGCCGCTCCTGAACAACAACGTCAGAAGCGTCTTATCTGGGCTAAAGAAAAACAGACCTGGTCTGTTGCTCAGTTGTCCAAAGTCCTCTTTTCTGATGAGAGCAACTTTTGCATCTCATTTGGAAACCAAGGACCCAGAGTATGGAGGAAGAATGGAGAGGCACACACTGCAAGATGCATGAAGTCCAGTGTGAAGTTTCCACAGTCTGTGTTGATTTGGGGAGCCATGTCATCTGCTGGTGTTGGTCCACTGTGCTTCATTACGTCCAGGGTCAACGCAGCCAGCTACCAGGAGATTTTAGAGCACTTCATGCTTCCTTCCGCAGACGAGCTTTATGGGGATGCTCACATCATTTTCCAGCAGGACTTAGCACCTGCCCACACTGCCAAAAGCACCAAAACCTGGTTCAATGACCGTGGGATTACTGTGCTTGATTGGCCAGCAAACTCGCCTGACCTGAACCCCATAGAGAATCTATGGGGCATTGCCAAGAGAAAGATGAGAGACATGAGACCGAACAATGCAGAAGAGCTGAAGGCCACTATTGAAGCATCCTGGTCTTCCATAACACCTCAGTAGTGCCACAGGCTGATAGCTTCCATGCCACGCCGCATTGAGGCAGTGATTGCTGCTGAAGGGGCCCAAACCAAGTACTGAGTACATATGCATGCTTATAATTTTCAGAGGTCCGATATTGTTCTATGTGCAATCCTTGTTGTATTGATTGCATGTAATATTCTAATTTTCTGAGATTGTAGATTTGGTGTTTTCATGAGCTGTAAGCCATAATCATCACAATTATGACAAATCGCGGCTTGAACTATCTTGCTTTGCATGTAATGAGTCTATCTCGTATATTAGTTTCACCTTTTAAGTTGCATTACTGAAATAAATGAACTTTTGCACAATATTCTAATTTTTCGAGTTTCACCTGTAAAGGATGGAGGGGTTAGTCAGAATGATCAGGTAGGAGGCTGGATCACTGTTGTTATAGGGAGTGCCGAGCACACAGAAAAGGAAAGACCAGTCATGCTTTTTAGCAAATTTGGTAAGCTTTGTTAATATATGAGTGTGGCAATCCCAGAGGTGTGAGTCCTAGATGTCACTACTCCCCTAATTGCAGGGACAGCAGCCCATCTAGTAATTTGGAAATCTATAATCAGTAGGACTGATAGAATAATTTGTTTCCAGGATTTCCTCACATGAATGGTTTGCCGTTTCCCTGGTGCCAGGGTTTGACATGTGGTGGACCTAGTAGACAAATTACTGGGTGGAACTTGGCATGACCCAGCTGTCTTGGTCCATGTTGGAACCAATGATAGATTACATGGAAGATGAGGGATCCTTTAGAATCAATTTAGAAATCTAAGCTGCAAGTTGATCAAAAGGACAAGTTATATTCTCTGGAATATTGCCTGCGCCAAGCACAACACGAGAAGGACAAAAGGAGCTTAGAGAGATAAACACATGCTAAAGACATGGTTTAAGAGTGAATGATTTTGGTTTTTTGCAGCACTGGCCTTTTTTTATTGGCGATCAATTGATATGCTAAAGATTGTTTGCACAATGAATGGTTGAATTGCGTAAGGTGGAGGGAAGGCTATTGCAGGTCATAGAGTCCCATGTTACAAAAACAATCGAGTACTGTGTGTGCCAAATTTTTTATTTGCACTAACATGCACATATTCAGGACAAGCTTTGATGGCGTACTCCTTCCTTCTTCTGAGGTCCAAGTAGTACTAATACACAATGTTTAGGCAGAATAAAAAGAGACAATTTCTAAGAAAAAAACTAACAAACATAGACCGCAATAGTCAACAGCAATAATTTTAACTGAAATAAATGGCGAAATAAGGAAAAACAGTGGGCTACGGAATGGGTGTGGGGGTAAGGAGTCACAAAAGTGAGAGTGGTTGTAAAACTGTTGGATAGTGATTTAGAAAACTGAAGTCCACATTTAATCCAGTATTTTTTTTGTCAAATAAAGTTATCATTCTTAGTTGATGTTTAAATACCATTAACAAAAAATGGTCTATTTGTGTGGAAAAAAAAAGATAAAAATTTCACATGGCTACAGTGTTGCATGACCGCACAATTGTCATTCAAAGTGCAACAGCGCTGAAAGCTGAAAATTGGCCTGGGCATGTGAAGGGGGTAAAAGTGGCCAGTATTGAAGTGGTTAATAGAGTGTCTGTGTAATTATTTTTTTGTAGCTTCTGTCTTGTTTTTGATGTAAGATCCTTTTTTGCATTGAATGTAGTACACAGTATTACCAGACTTATAACCATTATAACCAGAGGTATAATAATTGCATGTGTGACACATTTTAATAGATTAATTTGGCTGCAGTGTTTGCAGGGCCTGTTGTTACAAGTCTTGGTTCTTTTATTTGCGACTCTGTAATCAGAATGAAGTTACCTGCTGATTAATTTATGTGTGAGGGCGGGTGGTTGCCTAAAAGTAGAGGATGTTGGACTATTTCTTAGAAATGTTTATCCTCTGTTATGGTGAGTTTCAAATCTTAAAGCTGTCCATACATGAGTGAAAAGTCTGAAAGAATTTTCTTTCGAAAATCTTTTCTAAGAATTTCCATTCGAAATTCGCACCATTAGTGGGTCACAGAAATGGCCGATTTTCATATGACCATCGAATTTGAGTGATTGGGCATGTTGGAAATTTTTTGAAAAACAAACAAATTTCGAATCAATGATGGGAGAATCGTGCAAGAAATATAAATCTGTGACCCGGAAAGAAAAGAAAATTCTTGGCCACG